CCAGAAGTTCATAATTTCTTCATTATTCCAACACAAGCCCTGTTATTCCTTAGCACACCTGTTCTCAATCTAGTATTGATTAAAGTAAGTTACTCCCTCTTTTCTAAAATTTAAGTTAATTTAGTCTTGTACTAATTCGAATCACTCTAACATTGACCAAGTTTATAGAAAAATATACTAGCATCTACTCTTTTCTAGATACATAGTATCTAGTTGCACAGCAAAAGCCATGTATCAAGAAAAACCAGAACGACTTAAAATTTGGAACGGATGGAGTATAATACTTCTTCCATCTATATTTAACCTGCGTCTAAGCAAAAAGCACAGAGAGCAAGAAAAAACTAACTCCCTGTGTGATCGGCTGCTGCTAGCTGCCCCATTAGTGCAGCAATGCACATGCACCCAATGAATGTTGCTCTCTGCCCATTAATGTTGCAAGGCGCACTTTGTTGCATGCGCTGCCCATTGAATACGGAAACCCCCAGCTTATGCTGCATGCGCTGCCCATCGGATATGGAAACCTAACGTGGCTTCAGCGGAGATGCTGCATGACTGCATGTGCAAAACAAGGCAACACCCGCATACACACTTGGTAAAGCAGCGGTTGATAGAAATACACTGATCAGACTTGGAAACTTTTCTGGACCTGAGGCAACAAACAAAACTGGAGTACTGGACAGAGGGAGTATCAAATGAATGAACTATCAACACATATTTCATGTTGGGTTTAATTAAACTTACTCGATGTTCTACATGTTGGTGTATTTTTCTAAAAAAACTTGGTCAACGTTAGAAAACTTTTATCTAGGACAAAACTAAAATGAGCTACATTTTAGAATGGAGTATTGGATTAGTGGTCAAAATTTGAATTGCTGTTCATGGAACAGACTTACTGTCAATCACTGTGATAAATAGTACTCCCTCCATTCCAAATTATAAGTCGCTTTGACTTTTTTGGTACATCCATTTGATGTACCAAAAAAGTCAAAGCGACTTATAATTTGGAACAGAGAGAGTACTTATGTTGGCAATCAGATGTAACAAACATATTAGCCTCTATTCTGTTGACCGGCAAAGATTCCTGATATAGAGAAGTGCTTGGATATTGTTGCATCATTACAAGCTAAAAAGGATTTGGGTGAGGTTTGTACAATTTTCTGGAATCGAGTTATCTACTTTCTTTTCGTCTTCTATAATGATGATGACACTATTGTTGGGGCTGTACTCTAGCACTTAGGCCTATAAAATGTTCAGTTTTGACACTTTACACGGCCCATTGGTTCCTTTACCTTGTGTTCTGCTACCGTGCTACGTACAAACTTTAGATCCTGTACTTCAACTATATCTCGAGTTGTAATTTACTGGTTTATTGTGTACTTTCTGCAACTTTTATTGGTCGGTAACTGAGTATGCAGTATCATTTATGCATAATAATAACTTTTGTTGTATAAGGATTTAAGCATGAAAAGTAATTGAAAAATTGAATTCTCAGTAAAGCACCCAACCCAAGGAATTTTATCATTGGAAAAGGTTAGTGTGCCTGCACCAGGGGTTTCATATGCTTACACGACATACATGTCAAATTGTTTCATCTGCAGTGCCATTTAAACTTGCCTATTGTCATATCGTGCACATTTGCAGGAAATTAAGCTGTAGGCTCCTCGATACTTTTTTTATGCTATAAAACCATGATGGATTCTAGTTGGGACTGGACTAATCAATTGTCCAGTGAAAGCTAACGGTCCATGGCTTCCAATTAACTGATCCAGGCACTCATAGCCAACGGTCCACGGTCCTTTGCTGTTGTTGATGGTTCCTTTGCTGTGTGGGAACATTAGAAGATGACATTTCACTGCTTTTTTTCCCCACTGGATGCCCATATCATTCTTCAGGGTTTACAAGGAAGGCTTGCAGCTACAAAACATATATTAGTCCACCTAATTTGTCACTCAATTACCAAAAGAAAACTAGGATCTTTCAACAGCTCAACCAAACAGGGCCTAAGTGTGGCATGAGTCAGAGATCATATATGTAACTATGTTATGAACTTCTGCTGTAGGCTTTGATTTTTTTATGTATGAACTAATGTGATGACCAAACTTCGGTTGTAAACTTAAACTATGCTTTCTATGTTAAATTGAAGTGGTGCGAGTTATGTGTGTGTTTCGTAATATGGTGATCCTAGATGAAGCTACTTAGTTGGTTAGCATGAATGGTGCTACTGGAGATGCCCGGGTTAAGTTAGTGATGGCCAAGGGACGGCAGATCAATTTAGTCTGATTAATTGAAGGGTCTTCGAGGCTTTTGACCCAGCAATGAAGTCAGATTAATGTTAAAGTGATTGTCCAGTCGAGAATATGTGTTCTGCAGTAATGTTGTTGGCCGTGCCAAATCTTTCGCTGGTCAAAGTGGTGTTTCGGCCGCCCCAAATTGGTCAGACAGGGGCGTCAATAAGACTGGAGACGAAAAATTCGAAGCTTGTTAGCTTGGCTGGCTTGGCTCGTTATGATAGCGAGCCGAGCTGAGCAAAGATTTGAGCTTGTTAGCTATAACGAGCCAACTCGAGCCAGCTCATGAACCCAACAAGCCATACTTTTAAGGAAAAAAAAGTAGCAGAACTCATATTGGTTTTTCTATTATTTCATGTCCTGCACTTTACAGTTGGTTGATGAATGGTCTAGACTCTATAAACTTGCGATTATTATGACTTCATCATTTTGTTTTTAATGAATGTATGGGAAGTTATGATCACATTATGTATGATATCGAGTATGAACCATGGATGTATGGTGTAATATTACAGTATATCGTTATACTTGTATATATGTTAGCACATATATATTAATTTTTTATTCAATTTAAGGCCGTTGGATGTGTTAATTTTGTATTATTACTATTCTTAAGCTTTAAATAAATGCAAATATTATATTTTGTGTACTTTTTTATACCTGGCTCGTGAGCCTAATAAGCCAGCTCGAGCTCGTTAACGAGTCTTGCCAAGCCGAGTTGGCTCGTTATCCAGCCCTAGGCGTCGAATTGATTTGAGATTACTTACACCACCCACCCAAGCCAAACAACGACGCACGTCCAAACGCCGCGGAGCCGACCCCGTCAACGGCCGAAATTAGGCCTGGCCATCAGGGAAGAAAATTGGGTACGGGACTCCCGCACGCTGCACCGTGCGGCTGTCCAATGAACCAGCGACACGCGGATCTTCAGTTGCGAGCCTCCCTCTTCCCCTTCCCTCTCCCGCCACGTGTCATCATCTGAGAGGGCAGCCGCACAGTGCCACGTGCAGAGTCCCATACCAAATTTTTTTTCCGGCCAGCAGGATATCCATCAAACAGCCCCCAGGTGGCCAGGTGCTTATGTCACGCTGCTGTCCAGTCTCCTTTGACAATAGAATTATTACTGCGTGCTTACATTGCTGCATGTTATAAATCATAAGTCATTCCAACTTTCTTAGAGAATAAAAAACGTCTTAAGTTTAACTAAAATTATAGATAGAATCACGAAGATATATGATATCAAATAGATATTGCTATAAAAATATAATCAACAAAGAATCTAGTAATACTTATTTTTTATCATAAATGTTATTATTTTATTATATAAAGTTGGTCTAACTGGATATGTTTAGACTTTGCAAGACACTGTGGCCGAGCACCCGCTCGTTGCCTTCCTCGGCGCACTCTGACACTTCGCCTTGCCTCCCTGCATCTCGACCTCGAGTACACTCCCGACGCCGAAGTTCTGGCCTCATGTCGTGTCCCGTGCAATACATGCGTTCGACAAAATGCCCAAAAGAGACAACAAGCCAGTACTCCTGTCACATGAAGACTGATGTTGCTGTAGGTCGTCTTGCATATAAACAGTGTGGATGATGAAGTCGAGATACTTAGATACAAACTCCGCTACACGATGGATCATGGTAAGTGGAATAAATTACTTATTTCCTGCTCTCTTTTTCATTTGACTGCAATCATTACAAAATATCATGCCAAAAGAATGCTCAGCCCAAAGTCACGAAGCTAGCAAAGGCTAAGTGCCAAAAAAAGACAGTGAGAGCATGCTTCACGGAAATTGTCGTATAGTACTGTTTCCGAAAGTATAAAATTATATTTATTGACGTGCCAAAATTTTAAACCCGATAAGAAAGTTAGCAGTGCATATGTTTCTCTCTTCATATAAACTAGCCAACTATTTTTATGTGAAAGCATTTACATTTAAGACTAGCAAACATTGGCTCGCTAATCAATCAAAACTATTACGTTAACTAAGCACTATTTTCTTGGGGGATTGTAAAACAGAGAAAACTTTCTTGCCAGTTCATAGTGTTTCCATATAAATTTTCTGTTGAGTCCTGCTATCTATGATTAGGCAGCATGAAGTTAGTATTGATCCTGTTAGGAATTTAGGCATTTCCATGTAATCCAAAAAAATTCATAGCAAATTTCTGATGATAAATATATGCAAGTGTGGCATATTACTACTAACAACAATAGCAGTGACATATTATTACTAACAACAGTAGCAAAGGTGCCTGGCCCAGGCACCTTCCCAGGCCGTGGATTGTGGGCGCCCGGTGGTCGAATGACCTGCCTGGGCCACGCTACAAACCAAACAGCCCTTATATGCCTGGCAAGTCTCGGCATGCAGCAAGCACAGTTCTCCATTGTCCACTCGCCCTCATGCAGCAAGCTCCCTTGTCCACCTCACCCACTTTTTCTTAGTAATGCGAGCTGATCTCTTGCGGGTTCCCCAGAAATAAAAGGTGCAGCAACTGATCTCACGGAAGCACTCGTTACAGCTTCTCTTAATTTGTCCTCCGCCGCCAAATACTGTCATCCAGACCAGGTAGAGCGCAAACAACAGCGCATATCCCAACACGGACAGCACCCAGCCTGCACCACGTGCAGGCTGCGGCAGTGGCTGAGTGACGCCGCATAGGCTGGGTGGAACAAGTCGGAACACGCCTCTGGTGGCGAGGACGAAGGCGTCTAGGACAGCACACGCCCAGTGATGCCGATGCCGAAGCCATTGCAGGGCACAGGGCTGCTCCTGGAGCACCTGACGATGGGGACCTGAGCAGAGGCGCTGCGCCCGTTGCTCCTGCTCTCAAGGGCATCCACGCCAGCCCACACACTGGAGGCATAAACATACAGATACCTACATCCAAGCATGTAATGTAACATGATCAGACATGTGAGTACAGTGTACCTTGTACGAACCAATTACACAGCAAAGTGATATGTTTATCATCTCTGTACCTTCCTTTCAGCAAGGGATCTGCGGACCCTCTATACATGAGACCACCAACGATCGATGGCATCCTGCCATCAGCGGGACGGCCGTGGTTGATGATGTGGGAGACAGTCACCTTCATTGAGGAGCCACTGTAGTTTCTACCCCTCGTGATAAGATGCACTAGCTCGTACCGTTTCTGCATATCAATTTTCAGGAAAATTCAGATTCGAATCAATAGCTGTCCAGAATGAATGCTCAATGAAAAAGATAAGCATGTAGTATATCTGTACCTCATTGACGTCCGCACAGTACAAGTAGGCAGGCCTGTTGGAGTCGAAACTGCATCCGTTTGGGTTGTTCAGACCCGCAGCAAAGATCTCTGGCTTCTCTATCTTCGGAGTGGCACGGTCACTTGTCCATCTGTTTTCTCCTGGAAATCACAGGTAGACAAATGAACCTGAAACCACAGAGCAATAATGACACATGCTGGTAGATAATAAGGATATGTTGAAGCGTTTGCATACCTGCCATACCTCCAACATAGAACCTTAGGATTTTGCCAAAAAATGACCTCCCGTTCTTTGAGAAATCACCATTGCCAGTAACTAGGTACAGATATCCATCGCTGTCACTTGGCCGGAACAGGATCTGTCCGCCATGATGCTGGTAGGAATATGATGTGTGCGGGTAGGGCAAACCCATGGTGAAGATCCTCCTCACTTCTGATGAATAAGCGCGAGTTGCCTAGCAAATTGAAATTATAATATGCAGATGAACGAGCAGAAAATTAACTAGAGCAAAGCAATAGGCAATCCTTGAATCTTCAGGTTCCTACAACATCTATGTACTTTGTACTACTCAAAAATCTAATTCCATTTTAAGTGAATAGGACTCATAGAAATAGAAAGGGAAATCTGTTACCTTCGAATAGTCAGTGCCACCTTTAGCAGAGAACTCGGAGACGACAAGCTGATACCTGCACAGCTGGGAGCCATTTCCGGCAGCAGAACCCCAGCACGTGCCGGCACCACAGACCGGTGAGGTGCTGCTGTCACAGTTGTATGAGACGAAGAAGCGTCCATTGGTCATGAACTCTGGGTGAAACGCCACGCCGACCAGTCCGAGCACCGCATCATGGTGCACTCGATCCGAGATGTCAAGGAACGGACTGTCAGAATGCAGGGTCACTCCAGATCCCTGATGAGGCATTGAGACCAGCCAGATCTTTCCGTCCTGGCTGGACAAGAAGACTCGGCCTGAGCCATCTGGGTGAGCAGCCATGGTGACAAAGGATCCTGCGCTGATACGCTCAAGGCAAAACGTGCCCTGCTCCCATGGCAACCGGGTAGCAGGGGGCCCAGGCTGGTGCTGAGCAGAGGTCGACGACTGAGTAGACTCGCAGAGGAGAGGAACGGCGAGCTTCATGGTCGTCGCCGAGTCAACCGAGTTGAACAGCATGGCCGAGAGGGATGGCACGCATCTCTGCATTAGTAGTTGGGAAATGTCAAAACACAGTATATGTCCAGGCAGTCCTGATCGGCTAATCGCAGATCATCAAAAAATATGCTTTGTTTTTATTTCAAATCTCGTAGCATGCATTTTGTTTTTCTTCAGAACACACACCTCAAACCTTTTACAAACACTAAACAGTATACGAACACGCATAGTAGGAATTGAACACAATCTCTGCAGATGTGCATTGACCGAATGGAAACCAATTCAGTCACGGGCATTTAGTAAGCTTATACAGATATATTTAAGCAGAATTTGTTGCAGCCATCATTCATAGATATATGGACTAAAAGATCAGAAAATAATTGACTGAAACGTGCGCATACCAACTGCTCTGACATGTTGTGTTTGCGAATCAATCATTTGTACTTGGACTAGATTAGTCGATAAAGGATGCCGAAATTCTTTTCAGCTGGGCTACCGTCATTTAGCAAATTTTTAGCGCTCCCAACATGCTAGCTACGTCTCAGCCTAAAAACACACGGACATGAATAACAAAACTTAACTTTCTGACATGTTCAGCATGTTCTTTCTTGTTCTTATAATATACTAAGATGTCATCAATAAAGATCACGACAAATTTGTCCAGCTCAGGCATGAATATTGAATTCATCAGATACATGAAATGAGCTGGGACATTCGTCAAACCAAAAGACATTACCAGGTATTCATATAATCCATATATGATGGTAAATGCCGTTTTGGTAATATCTTCAGGCTTAATTTTGATTTGATGATAACCTGACCTCAAATCAATCTTGGAGAAAACTTTAGCTCCGGCCAGTTGATCAAAAAGTAAATCTATCCTAGGTAAGGGATATTTATTTTTAATTGTCACTTCATTCAATGGACGATAGTCAACACACAATCTCAGGGTCTTATCCTTCTTTTTCACAAAAATTGCAGGACATCCCCAAGGTGACGAACTAGGTTGGATAAACCCCTTATCAATCAACTCTTGCAATTGAGTCTTCCACTCGGCTAATTCCTTGAGAGGCATCCTTTAAGCTCTCCTAGAGATCGGAGCTGTTCCAGGTTTTAGATCTATGTTAAACTAAACATCCCTATCAAGTGGTAGACCAGGTAAATTTTCAGGAAAAACATCTGGGAATTCACAAACTACAGGGATATCTCTAATCTCCTTGACGGAAGTTGCACAAACTTTTTTCACTGATCTCTTTAAGATTGGAAGTTGGATAAGAAGCTGAGAATTACTATCTGTCAAACTTAACCTTATTGTCCTATTCAAAGTATCTACAACAGCTTTATGCTGATACATCTAATTCATTCCCAAGATCACATCTATATCCTGATCTTTTAGAATAATCATGGTGGTGGGAAAAATGTGCCCACCCAGGTTTATGGATACCTGGTACATCATTTCCTTAGTACACAGACGTCTCCCGGGCGACTGTATATAGAAATTTTCCTTTGTTGCCCCAATTAAAATTTCATGCTTTATGACAAAGGTTCTATTGATGAATGTATGAGATGCACCAGAATCAAAAAGCATAATTGCAGGATGATCGGCGACAGGAAACATACCCAGCATCACGGGTTCCCCTTCTGGAATCTCCCCAGCTTGAGTATAGAAAACCTGCCCCATCTTCTTTTCATCTTTGCCCTTCTGAGCATTTTGGTTATTGTTCTTGTTCTGAGCTTGACCCTATTGTTGATTTCCAGGAGCCTTCTGAAAATTTGGATTATACTGCTTAGGATACGGACATTCTCTAGAGAAATGACCGGACTTTCCACAATTGAAACATGGGTAATTGTGGCCTTGGGGTGTTGGAGCACGAACACCAGGAACATTTGACTGTTGTGAGTTTGGATAAGTCACGACAGGACGGACATTTGGTCGTTGACCGGCTTGGAACTGTGGCGGACGATAAGGAGGACGATAGTGATTCACTGGATGATAGATTATCTTCTGTCTCTTTTGATTACCACCGAAAGATCCAGATGGCACGCTCTTTTTCTTCTTAATCTCCTTATACTGCCGATATTTCTCCTCCGAAGCAATAGCAATGTTAACTGCCTCATGATACGTGACATTGGTGCAGGTGGTCATCATGGTCTGATGTTTGGTATTAAGGCCACGCATGAACCACTTCTTCTTCTTGGCATCTGTGTTAACATGCTCAGGTGCATACTGTGAAAGGTGATTGAACTTGCCAACATACTGCATGACTGTTTGATCACCTTGCTTTAAAGCAAGAAACTCATCAAGCTTCATGGCCATAACTCCCTCCGGAATATAATGGGCATGAAAAGCAGTGCGAAACTCGACCCAAGTTAACTGAATACCGGCTGGTTGCATAGCCACAAGGTTCGCCCACCAAGCACCTGCTGCACCTCTAAGCTGTTGGGCAGCAAAAACAGGCTTCTGAAACTCAGTGCATGGAATGAGGTCAAACTTCTGCTCCATGGTACGAAGCCAATCATCAGCTTCAAGTGGTTCGTCAGCCTTGGTAAATACTGGTGGTCGTGTATCCGTGAAGTCAACATACGTAGCTTCTTGCCTTTGATGATTACGACCACGGTTCCCTTGCATCATATTTTGATTGCTTTGAGCTAACTCCCGAAGCAACCGAGCATTATCAACAGTCACATTGACTATTGCTGCGATAGCATCAGCCAAATTTGGCGGAACTGGTGGCGGATCAGGAATGCCATCCTGGTCTTGCGAAGAACCAGGAATAGTCAAACCCCGAGTACGACGCATCTGTTCATAACAAACCAAACTTTACTCACAAGCCTTTATTGAACGATTAAAACAGCTTATTACAAACACATTACATTGGGTTCACTTATTTATACACAAATTGCACTTAAGCAAGACTACCCAACTTAACTAGAACTCACTATTTTACAACTCTACTCTTCTCCTCGATCACCTCATACCTCGTGATCGGTATCCATCCAAGAAACATTTCCGCCTTCATTATCGCTTTCATTGACCATTACTACTTCTGGATCTTCTTCTTCTTCCTCTTCCGGTTCATCATCATCTGCTATGATGACACCTGGGTCCATTGCATCTGCTTGAGGCTCATAATTTGGATCCAAGAGATTGTTCAGCCTATGGATTTCTTCATGCAGATTGGTATAATATTCTTCTAAGTCTTCTACATAGAACTCTAACTCATGAGCTCGGGTCTAGCTACATCTTCTCTATGCCAAGCCTCATTTCTTCCTTCCACCATACGGACTAACATACGCTCACAGTTCTTATGAGCGGTGGTGAGACACCTCAATTGATCCTGTAACTTGCCCACCTGGATGGCATCAAAGGCCCTATCTCTAGTAGCCTGTGCTAATTCTGTTGAAAGCCACTGTATCTCAGCCTGGGGATCAAGCCTAAAGCTGCTGCTGCTAGCACCGTCACTCATAGGGGCAAGCTGGTGACGAGGAACTCCTTTGGGTCCAATGGACTTACGGGGTGTTACCTTGGTACGAGCCATACTGTCGAAAGCAAGGTTTAATAAAAGTAAGACGATCTGATAAAAGTTTAAAGAGCAGCAAGGATGGATTTCACTACTCAACCCAAACTAAGGGGAAAAAGTAAGTAACTAGTGGATTAATCATGATGCATGAATCGTCCTTACGAAACTTAAACATCAAAACTCCTATTGTACTTAAACAATAGTTTTTATTATATAGGGCATAACAAGATTACTACTCCCCCATACAAAGCCTTTTTAATCAAAATAAGGAATGGCGAGAATGAAAAAAGATAAGTCGGAAGCAATTTGGACCAAATTAACAAGTTAAATTTGTTTGTCCCAAATTGTTTTGAAGTTTTTGTAAAACAATACAACAAAAACTTTGTAATGATCGCTCTGATACCATTATGTGGTGGCAGAACCTCCTAAATTATAGGGCCCACATGCACCTGTCACTGTCCAATGACCTCTGACGACTATGCATATGTTCCCGGTAACTTAAGAAGACTGTCGGGTGTCCTCGGAGAACCCCGAATCATCCACGATTTTTCTGAGCAGGATCCATTACAGAGTCATTGCAGTATTACAACAGTTTATTCATTAATTTACATCCGAGTGAAATAGCGGAAGTCTTACAATAACTTAGTTTACAAACCGATTGTTTCAAATCTTACAAACTAAGTATGATTATTATTACAAATCATTCATAGTGGAGTATCTTAGTAACATAAAACAAAACACACAATAAAGTGCCCTGCCCAAGGGCCACACATTTACTTGTCATCCTCAATTTGAAAAACCGTCATGCAGCACGGTCCAAAGCAGACCTGCTCATGAGACTCACCTGCAACAAGGGTCAACGAACCCTGAGTACAAAAGTACTCAACAAGACTTAACCGGAATAAAAACTAATAAGACTCAGGAATGCAGGCTCAGGGATTCAAGGTATGGCTTTAGCAATAAACAAAGTTCTTTTGCGTAAAAGCTCTCTAACAAGATTCTTTCTTTCAACATTAAAACCTTCATCAAGATCATATATGAATCTGCCATGATCCGTATTGAGACCATGAACTTCATATCAAACTCTTTCTCAACACGTACTCAAGTTCCATTTATTAACTACGATGATGAACAGTGAGTTGAGTCTCCATAACCGAGGAGCAACGATGATTCAAACCGATTATAACCCAGCTGGGGATTCCCAACCACACGACATATGCAGGTCCCTGACCTACATATACCAACCTACCCTCGGATCCTCTAAAACAAGAATGAGTCCACGCCACCCGAGAGCATAGTACTTCACTAATCCAGCCCATTGCCACGTGGGTACATGCTACTCTCGCCATCTCTCCACTCCTAGTGCGCGAGTAGCCATTCTCGTAATACAATAGCCAAGTTAAGGCTTACCGGAGTATGTGGCTAGTACTACAAAGTCTCACCTCATGCAATTCAACAACGGACGGTTCTTAATCGACACAGGCGGAAAGAACCCGCTCA